TCGATGACGACTTTACCGCCTCGAAGCCAGCAAGTTTCCATCGCGACGGCATTCGTACGTTACCTGAGAGATGGCGCAAGGTCATAGAAAACGACGGACCATATTTCCAAGATTAGGTTCATTGTTCTTTATTTTTCTACGTAAAACAAATTTGCTAAAATCTGTAAAAATTAAGTCATACACTTAATACTAAGGCCCCTCCGACTTCAATAGGAATTTTGAGGCGAATTCCAACATGTGAGATCTGTTCAGCGCCCAATACCATGGAGTTTAAAATCCTCATTGCCGATGTATTTTGGCTGCACTTTATAAAGATGCAACTAATTGGTGAAGTACGATATTGCTGAAACAATGAGCGAGGGAGGAAAGTAGCAAATGCTTCATTCGGAACTAACATGGAGGCATTTGGCTTGCCAATGCGCAAGCAGCAGGTGGAGCGACAGACGAGGGATTATCGCAGGCGAGGAGCACACTGATATGGCCATTGTCGCGGCGCTGGACGATTTGAACGTTCCAGCCAATCGCGAGACAGGGGCGTAGCACAAAGCCTCGGCAATAGCCACCTGCGACAAGCACAGACGCGTCGACACTCTCGAAGACAACGTGTAGATACTGGTTGTCGCGCGGCTTGACGGTGGAACTATTCAAGGGAAGGAAGGAAGTGGGACTAGATTACGCCTGTGTGAAAGACTGCGGGGTATCACGAGGCTTAGGCGTACCTGGCATCTTGATGGAGAGGTAGCCAGACCGCGATATAGCACCCAAGAGCACGTCGGGTCGCGTGCTAGTCGGTGGTGTCAACTGAAGTCCGTCCGCGATTTCTTCATCTGATTGTGCCGAACTCACGCCCCATGGAAAGATCAAGGAAAGCAGAATTTTCAGGAGGTTTGCGCAATCCTGAAGACCCAGTGGAATGTCGTGCGACGAGTGACTCGATGTGTCCTGAGGGTGGAAGGATGTTAAGGAAGTACTTTGGAATTCACTAGAAGGGTCACACGATTAACCAGGAGACACTAAGACCGCCAGAACAGATTTAGACACTACGTGAAACCAAAAACCAACAAAAAGTGTGGGGCAAATAACCTTTGAAGAGACAGCAGTTGAAAGGAGGTTCGTGATGATAGCCTCGATGTCGTAGTGAAAGACGATGGCAGCGGGTCCTCCACCGACATTGGAACCAAGGGCCTGGAGGACGAGGGGTGGGAGAAAACGCGATTGGTCAGTGTGTCGGTTGCGGCGTGTCAGCCTAGATGGCACAACGCGATGTCGGGTGCTGGCTGCGGACGCACTCTGATTGGCTGGGGTGATGGTGGCCAATGACAACGGGGAGGGACGCGAACTTATCACCACGGTATCGGTGCCTGTGTTGAATATGTCCAATGCCACCGCCCCAGTCTCGTATCTGAGTGCAAAAGAACCGGTTTGAACACAAATACGGTATTACACAGAATAACTATTGGAGCTTTAAACAATCATCGGCACAAACAATGAACCGATGAGATGCAAGTGATAAATTCCAGAATGTGATTGGTCCGTCGCCAAAGTTGGTTGTCGGACGATATGAATTCAGTATAAAAAACGCGAAATAAAAACATTTCAGCCTCATAGGAATGAAATCGCCTCAAAACTTATTGCGGTTCATAAAATCGATTTCCGATGTCATCGGTTTTGAGTGAGGCTAATCCTTGACAATTCGGGCTGGCTATTAATCTTAGAACACAACAACTTTGAATCGCCTGCAGCATCCGCGTAAATTAACAATTTAATGTGTTTTTGAGATGGACGAATTCTTACGTAAACCATCTATTTCAACCATTCAACTAGACCAAAAAGTAGTATGAAATGATAATATACGAGCATGCTGCATCAGAGCTGAGTCTTTACACAAGAACACTACAATTGTGAGAGGTAAGCTCAGGCATTACCAAACAATACTAATAAACGTGTTCATTTGACTATTAACTGAAATTGACCAATTAGATAAAGCTGATCAGACCATGAGTTTAGCTCTAAAGGCTGATCCTGATTGGACAATTACTAGATGCGGAAAATGAAGGGGATTTCCTGCACCAAGTGTCTCCTCCTTAACGAAATCGTAATCTAGGCACCGTCCACAGGTACCTCGGTCTTGTCCAAGTCGTAATGAATGAAAAAAACAACAGCAAGAAGGTTCGCTGACCTAAGGATCACGAATCTTTTGAGTTACCAACCTGGACCAATCCCATTCGCGGAAATGTAATCGTCGTCTTAATGATGAGGCTTTTGTGGTAGACGTCACGTAAGCCACAAATTAAAGGATTCCTTGTGAATGTGAACGGAAGGATGAGGCGGGTCAAACGCTAGGTCGTATCGATTAGCTCTAGGATATCGATATCAGGCGTACCTTTCCAGTTGCCCCAGGCCCAAATCCCAGATCGAGAGAGAGCCGTCGTCGGCAAGAATGAGAAGGAGCATTTCCACGACACGCCAACTTATCGCGTGGATACCGAGGGGCACACCGTAGCCTCCACCGCCCACCGGCGAACCTCCGAAACCGGATCGGGCACGCAAGAGGGTGAAGCGATCCTGGGGCGAAATGACGCTGACGGTGCCATCGGCGGCAACGCAAGCGACGCACGACTAAGGGTGGAGTGGTGGTCAAGAATTAGCCTTGACATGATGGGAGCACGCAGTAACGCGTCACAACTCACCGACAAGAAGGTACTTTTCACTCCGCACGCGCTATCAGGCGTCGGTCCCACGGTGAGTGCGATTACGGGCGCTGCATGGTTGTGAAACACAGCCAAGCAGTGCGCTTCGAGGCGGGACTCGGTAGGGTGCGGGTCGAGGTCCCACGCTCGCACCGAACAGTCCTCGCCACCGGAGACGAGCAAGCTCGCTCGAAAGGCGGACTTGTCCCTGGCGAAGGAGTAGGGATGCAGCAGGGCAAGCACGGGGCCTCGGTGTCCCCTCAATCGATACTGCTCGGAGCGGCAGGGCGATTGGTCGGGCAGCCAGAGGGAGTGCAGGAGGGGTGCGAGTTGGGCGACGATGATGTCACCCGACGCAGTCGCCAGGACGACACGTGGAGGGAGTGGTGGGGGACAGGGGTGGGAGGGTGGGGAGGCAGGGGGGACCTTGGACGAGTGAAGGGGCGCAGATGTGGAGTAGATGACTATGCAACATGTGATGGTGAGTTTCTCGGCAGGCGGATCTGGCAGGACTGCGAACGAGGAGGCAATCTACACACGGAAAGAGGGGCAAATGAGTTGCGGTGGACACTCGGTCAACCTCTAGAATCAATTAACCTGACAAAATTTAAGGTGGTCGTACACTGCGGTGGTGTTGAGTAACTCACATCGAAAAAGCTGGTAGTCGGTGAAGGCGCTTTCAGTAATTTCGACCAAACATCGGAAAGGCTTGTTTGTAGAAATGGCTTCAAATCAAGAGGTTGCTGATCTGAAATCAAGCAAAATGTTGGTCGATTGCCAAACAGCTCATGGACGGTATCAGTTTTCATACATTCCTTCTACCACACAACAACAATTGGTGTTTTTGTCTTATTTTTTTCCCCTAAAACGGAACTAATATCCATTCATTAAAGCCCTGTTGTTGATTGGTTGATTTGGCCACCATGATGGTGTGCATGATGGCCAAATGAACCAATCAAATCAGGCGTTCTGACATACTTATGCAAAACTATATTTCAAACCCAACATGTGAACCTTGTTATTCGAAACACGACACACCGTTTTCTCTACGTGATTCCATCCCATTTGAAACGTCCCGGACAAGGGCAATTGTGACTTTGCACTGATGGTCAGACGCACTTTGCGAATAACTAGCCGTGGGATTGAGGTCCATGCGTGTCAACGGGCCCACAAACTCACCAGATGATGTCACGAGCTGCTCCGTGGTGAGAGTCCAAACCTGCAGAGAACCGTCGGAGGTGCCGGCGAGGAAAGCGGTGACCGCGTCTGAAGGGGCCCCCAGACGACCCAGTGCGGGTCTGCGCGACTTGTTCACCGCTAGGTGACGAAAATGACGGGCCAGCTCACGATCCAGCTTGCCTTTTGTCTGCCAGTACAAAACACAAAAAAAGGAGCGTTCAATGGGCGTTTTTTGAGGGCGGGGGTGCATTGACTTCCTGAATCAAGTCCAAACAGGTTGGTGGCGGGTTCACCTAATTCGGCTAAACTCAACAAGTGTGAAATGTGCCGAGTGTGGAAACGACATGTGCGTTGAGGAATGAGCGTCGCCTGTACGCACACACTTAACGTCACATGACGTTATAAAAGGGAAGCATGCAACTATGCAGGAACACGGAAGCATCGTTCGAATTGGTTTTTTTTGCAAGTAACGGTGATTTCACAGCGAAATCTCCCAATGGATTTGCTTAGAATATTAGTACTTGTTAGCAAACGCGTTGGCACTATCAGAAATATCAATAGAAGTTGTCGTTAAAAAAGTTGACGGTTTAATTACACAATAAGATGAGGGAATCGGGCCTCGAATCGCAAATCCGATCGATGCTACAACTCTAGGGCAGGGTTGCGTCGAAGACTTTTTCAGAAAATGCAAAAGGCCACCTCTGGAGAAAGTTCCTTTTGCTTAACGAGATAATTTTGAGTCACTGTCCACGAAGTAGGTCGAACCACAGCACAGAGCGAACACCAGTTGGAATCCATCTAAGAAATTTCTGATTCCGGTGTGAATCTGAGGACACGCATTGGCAAGGGGAGGACGCCTTTTAGACTCTAACAACCACCTGAAATGCCCAAACTGGCGCCCAACTGCGGCGTTTCCAATGCTGGACTTCGACGGCTTCTGCTTCACAGACTGTCGAATGCAGCGACAAGGCTGACGGGCGCAGCTGCCTGATTGGTCCGAGGCTGTCCAATCACAAAACAGCCGTCAAGGGCGCACACTGAATGGCTCTAACGGTTCTTATAGGGCAACACGGTGGAAACAATAGTCGTTGTGCTTGTTTTTTTAAACCAAGCATAGGTATCTCAATTGCACAAATAAGGTGTGAAGGACGGGAGATCAGAGGGGGATGATCCGATTGGCACTTATTTCTAGTAAATCGTAGTAGGCACGGAGAGCGGTTTCAACTTTTTCTGGATGCCATTAGCTAGCTATCGGCTATTATGTGTTATTTTTGCATAATGTTGATGGTCTTACGACGCGAGCATGTCAGACGTCACGTTCTAACCCTAGGTAATTCGCATACCGACTCAGACCATACAAATAGCAGAGAAAAATCAATAAACAGCCCAAAAGCGAGTCACCGTGTACCTTCAGAATGGCAACGAGTTGGGGTTTTCGTCCTGTATTTTCAATACGGTCGCCCATTTTTGAAAAGAGGCTAAAATTTAAAGAAGAATAACAACAGAGTGCGAAGATGACTCATACATCGTGAGTGTTGTTTTAGCCAATCAGCAAATTGGCGGAAACTGTTTGGTTTCTTAACAACGAGGCCACACAACTCCCGACGTATTTACGTTTCCAGCCTAGAATTCATGGTTACCGAGTGAAATTTAGATGACAAGGCAGCCACCTAGATGATTAAGTATGTCACGAGCACACACCTCATTGGTCAGTCGGGGCCGCCATTTTTAAAAAAAGCTTGGATTGGCATTACTTTCTGTGTTTAATAACTACGAAGAGGCGTTATGCAACAATAGTGTGTGTAAATATCTACGCTATCCGCCCGATTAGTTTACACTAACAAAACACGCACACAGTGAAGTGGATTCGTGGAACAGAATCGGCCCGATGTTGTGGCAACCAAGGCACTACATGTCCACAACCACACGAAGCAGACCAGACTCACTACACACATCCACCTTTTCGCCACACGAAACGCTCTCGATTGCATTTTCGCTGGGTTCATGTGGTTTACAATGGATTACGGCGCCAGTAAGTAAGACAACCGTGTGAAAAGTGCTAGCCATCTTCGCACAAAACGTCTCGTCTTGGAACATCAACAGAACGGACTACCAACGCTCCGTCTCATCTCCGCTTAAACTCGACCCACACAAATCCATCCACGGCTTCAGAAGCTACGCTTAAGGTGAACGAACTCCAGAACTAACAGAATGTGACTACGCCGAGTAGACAGCAGACCAAGGCCCAGAAATCTCCTTACTATCATGAACAAAATCGTAGCTAAAAGTTATCAATGTATCGGACTGGCTAGACACACACACACGATTTTGCACTGGTAAGAGACTTACTCTCTGGGCAGGCGGTAAATCCTCGCCTCAGCAACGCTGGTGTACACAGCGACGAATTCCTTGTGGAAGAAGGCGCCCCCGATGAACCGCACATCCGATGACTCGCTGGACTGGAGGATTTGAGTTGAACAGTCGAAAGCATCCAAGATCTGAAGCGGGAAACAAAATTCAACGGCAACCATCATCGTCATCATCACCATCAAAATAGCTGCAACAATTAGCTTGGTTTTTGTTTTGTGGTCACTCAGTGGCTTTTGTTAATTACCCTAGATTAGGCTGATCGTTTCACACGCTTTAGTTGTTTTAATGAATTGGCGCGCTTACTGGGCGCCGTTTTGAATTCTGGTCAATCGGCAAACCGAGCTCCACACCAGATCAATTCGAATAGCTCATTGCGACCTTAGTGAGCAGTTCAAGCTCCAATCGTAAAACACCATTCAGTCACGTGTACTGTTACTAGTTTTCCCGAGGTTAACAACCTTCTGTAGTGATGCATAACTTTTTATGCACCGTGACGCGACAAGTCATTCAATAAACGGTTGTGCCACCGCCCTCTCTGCTCGTCTTAGTAACGCCGGGTTTGTGCGTAGCGTAATCCGCGGTTAAAGAACCCAATCAAAGGCCCCCCAGATTCAAACAAATAATAATCACAAGAGCAGAATGTGATTTTAGAATCGACGACAACAGTAACCAAGAAGTGTTGTTATTGGGTGCGTCAACGAATGCTCCGTTTTTATGAGCTCATTTACCAACAAACTGCACGCGCGCGCACACGCACTACCGCAGTAAAGCCGTGAGAGTACACAGCGTAAGCACCATTGAAAGGGTGCAGATTATATCGTGCGTTAGAAGAAGGTACGGTTTGGGATTTGGTTTCAGTAGAGGTGGCATTACGATTTGGGGAGTGTGGATCTCACCGGGAAACCCCAAGTGGATGTTCAGACATAATAATTTTAAAAAACCGGAAGTAAATGTCGTAAAATATGTATCGACGAAGGTGACTCACCCTCCATTCGGATACACAGACGAGGAGGACAAGGCGAGGCAGTTGCTGACAACAGTGGATCTCCAAAACTGGCGAGGACGTTTTCACGCGTCGCGATTCGTGCTCGTGGATGGTTGAATGCTGCAAAGAAGGAACCGTTAGAGGAGAAGTGGTCGAAGAGGTGCACTTACAAGGGCCTCCTTGCCGGTAATTGTCCACACGGTGACAAATCCCGAGGGCGTAATTCCCAGCACAACCTCCTCTGAAAGTCAAAGGGCTTTTTTAATTCACAATCAGCATATTCTAGGAGTGTCGGCATTTCAGCATACAACAAACACGTGTACGATAATGAAGCGCAATGAATAGAGATCTCTTCAGGTTTACAACACAGGTGGCTTAAAATTAGCTTACATTTAGTCGGCATGATAAAGAGTATTCACATCTTTAAGTAATTTAATCGAAATACATGAACAACTCGTCACAACGTACAGACGGTCAATATACTGAAGACATTTGGAGTTAGTGCAACTTGACGTTTTATCGATTCTAAGGAATATTATCTCAAAGTTAAATCACCAATTGCCTACTGAAAACAAAATGAGGTGTGTTTTAATCGACGAATGTTACAAAGACTCATATCTCTTAGTTTGAACCCTATTAACTCCGCAAGTCGTCGAAAACCCAGTTTCCTCAATTCTCAAAAGAATCCGGCATTTAATATAGATGAATTAGGTAACGTCCGATGAGTTAAGGGTAGTGTTTAACTAAATGCAATCGATTAGAGAAAAGAATCAATCAAATGAAAAAAAACCCACCAGAATGAGCAGCTTTATTCAACTTGTTTTCATAGTTGAGATGGAGCTATGGGTTTTCCCATTAGCAGTTAATTTAGGACCGGACGGCTACCGTCACCAGCAAGCAATTCTGACTCCAATACATTTACACATATACTAATCGTTTCAAACAGTCAGAATCAGATTGAAAAAGGGTGTCGATGCGATTTTTGAATTAGGCGTCAAGTTTGTAGGAACTCACGTTGTAGGTTCGCGTGAGTGAATAGGGAGAAGTCTTTTATCCAGTTCGATTGCGCATTTGATGCTAGAGTGAAGAGGATGGACAACTGCATTGCATGCATGACAACGATGCATGGATACTGACCACAACAAAATAAGAGTCTTGATTTCGTAAAACTTGGCTGGTAGGACTGCAAAGAAAGCAACTACAAGTCAGTGAAGAAGGGAAATTAAAAAGTTCCGATATTGACAACGCGAATGCACCTTGATTCTTGAATGCTGATATTGCAAATCAATTCGAATGTCGACGCAGGTTCCGTCACCCCAGTTCCATATGGCAATTTCACTTCAAATAGATAAAACTAGCATGAAATAAGTCAGACATCTTGGAAAGCCTATGAACTAACCTAAAATTTAATAAATACTCCTAATAATACACCATACTTCGGTAAAGCATAAAATGAACAACTTAGCTACGCTTGCTCATTGTTAATGCTACAAAAAATCGTAATGTACAATTCGTGTGTGATGAGAGAAGAAATTACAAAAAGGTACCATTCATACATAAATCTATAAAAACCCATAAAAATGTTTGCAGAGATTCATAATTTTCGTTATGAGTCCACAGTAAAAGTACGCACTTATTGCTGGAATGACTGAAGAAGAATGATTCCCCAAGAACATTGCCACAACTTGCAAATCCGAGGTTTTTAACTGCACCTATATGACCATGACACTGCCATTTGGGCCAGAACTAAAGACGTTAAAAAAACAAACAACATTACACATTCACCATCTTCTAATGTCCAAATAATCAGTTCACCACCAGAACCTCCAGTAACGATTTCAGAGAAACTCGGAGAAAACAATAGAGAACTAATTTCATGAGTTGGGACTTGACTAGACCACGATGTAATAGGGACCACTAGGGGGCTACACACTTTGAGCATAATCAGTGGGCGTTATAAATTCTTCATGAATATACTCCAAAGCGAATGCAAAGCACCATCTCCAGATATTTTTATAAGACGCAACGAGTAACCAGTTAATTAAAAGTAATGAGAACTTTCAGGATGTAAATAAAAGAGAAATGTCTTTAAAGTTACATGACGATAGCTAGACGCTTATACAAAGACTCTATTACAGTTTCCAAAACGTAGGCCCTAGAAATGTAATTTTTTCACTCACAGAAAGCGTGACTTGATTAAACCTTTTAATAAACTGGATTTGGTGCATTTAAAATGCTAGTTTGTTTAATAATAACATAAGTAGCAATATTCCAGTTTAAAAAATCACATGAATATTACTGAATTAACTTTCAAACACAAAACATTACCCATGATATCGGTCTACCTGTAAGGAATTTGGCAGATTCCAATTTTGTTATTAGCAGAAGATTATTTATCGTGAACTTGTTGTGGTGAAAAGAAAAGGCTTTATTAAAAAATTAGTTAATTGATTGGGCATGATGAACACATTTCGACCGAGTCTTTTGTGGTAGAATTTATTTCAATTTACAGACACATTGTGTTATCGGATTAAGGTTACCCAGGAATGGCTATATCAATAATACTTTATTTAAAAACTTGGTTGATTCTAATATAGCACGACAGATTTTTTTAATCAGGTTTTTAGGTTACTTATTTGCCTGTGGCGAGCACCAAGCAGTCGTGATCGAACGCAGTTAGCAAGCGTGAGCGAACATGATTCAATCTATTTTCGTGAATGCACTTCACGCAACTACGCGCGTCCAGAGGTTGATGCTTAGCGAAGCTATATAAACGCACCTGCTATCTTGTAAGCAAACACGCCACTCCTGATTTAATAAATTGCTTGAGCTTCGCGCTACCTGTATTTTCTTTTCCTTCTTTCGGTCAGGCAAAGTCAGAGTAGATTGTCGGCCATAGTGTGGCTTTATAACCCCACTGGGGCCCGCTACATGCCAATTGCTGGTTTTACAGGTCAATGTTTCTTTGAATGGTTTAATGTTTTGAGCTGGAGATCACCAAATTTTGTCCATTATAAGTTGTGAATATCTCGGAACTCCAAACTGCAGCAAAACGGAGTACCATGCAAACGGCCATTAATCGAAGTCGAATATAACATAGTTACACAATTTTAAATTTGTGAAATTCGATTATTATCAATAATTAAACACTCGCTTGCTAGACAGCTTTACACTGGCTTAGACTGCTGATTACATGCAACATATTTCGCATAATTACTTGGGGATGATGTAAGAAGATAACTCAGTTGATGGTTTCGAACAATTACAGTCTTTGTTGAAGAAGCAGGTCCAAACTTTTCAGGGTAAATTTTGCAAAATTTGTACGGACCGCCGGAAATGACGCCCTAAAGGTGACTTAAACTTGAACTTTAAGCACTCAGTGCAGGAGACTCTCAATTGTACTTCATTTTAAATGGGCACAAAGAAGAACATTACTTTCATGACTTTTAAAGTTTCAGGATAGATGAAATGGCAATTATTAAATGGTGAACTATTGTGATCGTTTGGTTTTGTCCCGCTATGTCATCTGTGGAGTGCTTAAATAGACAGCCAGACTTGCAATCGTTGTGAATAAACAAATGCAATAATACCTTTGGCGTTTTTTGATTAATGTGCTAAAAGGGATCCAGATGTCTTAACATCAATACCCGGTCTTTGAAACAATCAAAGCTGATTCTGAATGCGTTTTCAACGTAGATGTCAATATCTATTCTAGAAATGCATAGAGTTGGTCAAAGGGTTAACTCGCGTAAAATTTGGGCTAGTTTTATAGCATTTCAACGTTTCTGTATGCACAGATATTATTAACCCATGACGGTCCTGCGAGTAAGACTAGAAGGCTGGGTCTCGTGACGGAAAGTCATTAAGTCAGATAGCACGCAGAAATGACTTTAAAACAGTTGCGGCCGACGATGACCCAAAAACCCAAATTAAGCAACGCCTTTAGCATTTTGGGTGACGAATAAAAATGGCAGACGAAACCAAAGAGGCTTCTCCTTAAAACTAGTACGGTAAAATAGTCTTACGAAGAAATTCAAGCAGCTGTTGGTTGTTTCACGATCTCGTGTTTCAAAACTAAGCCTAGCCAAAATGTAAAATATAATCCAAATATTTTTTGGCACAATACCAAAAAATAATAACCCGAAGGGAAGCGTTGAAATAAGTAGCTTGTGAAAGTAATCTAGCAAGGAACTCCAAATGCCGTTTAAAGTTGGACCTTCCCCTCTTCTGTTCCTTTATCTCAGATTGTCTACCATCTTCTGTTTGCCTATATTGTATCCCATTAGGACGTGTAAGATCAACCATTTTACTTTGAATTCATGTGATGATGTAAATCAAATATCGCCGGATGCTGCTTAAAATTCATTAACTCTGCTAACCGTGCTCCGTCGTAATCACACCGACATGGTTTTGACACCAACATTTTGCATAATCATTTACTTTTCAACTTAATTTTGTTAAAAAATATTGTTTAAAACAAGAAAAGAATGTGTAATGCATTGCCTTCGGATTTTAAATATATGAAAGACTAAAAAAATTGGTATTATTTAAAACGAATTTCAGAATTGTCCATGTCTGTTGGTTTTTCATAGTATGCCATTGATAAAAACAAAATTCTCTTAAACTCACCGTAACTAAAATTATGTAGCCAAGTTATTTCGAAAACAAGCAATTTTTTTGAATCTTTGGAGCCATGGAACCGAAGCATCGTTAAATGAAAAATAAATTTATTATATCTTCAAGAATTTTTTAAATTTCGTCATGGATTTTGCTCGTCTAATTCATCTATTAAAATTCATTAATAAAGAAATCAATTCAATCAACGTGCTAGGTGAAAAAAATCATATTTTGTCTTGAAGATCTTTGTAGGAATGTTAAATTGGGTTGTTATTGAAAATTGAGTGAATGTGGTGTCCAGGTCGCAATATTCGTTCACTTTGCTCATGTCATAATGTAGCAACGTTTGTTAAAATTTAAAATGCTATTTTTACTCTAAGCCACATCTATGAAGATTTATATTTTCTCAATGGACAGTGTCGGGAAGAAACCAGTGCAACATAGTTAACTTTGTAACGAGGAGCGTCCTAATTACTAAATTTCCGCTGATCTTTTTTACACACTCTATTCTCAAGTTGACAAAATCAGACTCTAATCGCCTAGGTGCAACCAACTATTGTCACCTGTAGCATATGATTAGTATCTACGCAGAATCAACCACAACAAAACATACCCGAATTGCGCGGCCTCGGTCAACTTTGGTTTTCCACCTTTTTTGTGCATCTTATCGGATCTGACTGCATGCAAAACAATTAAACAGTCACTCATGGTGTGCTTGAGAATTGCAATAGTGTGTTTTATACGATATATTCTTATCAGCAAACTAATACTTTCAAATGGACTGATAATCACGTTTTATTTAAAATAAACTGAAATAATATAATTTTGTTGGGAATCCTAACGTCTCATATAATTACCCCAGATACAGCCCTTTAAGTCTATTTTTCGTTGCTTATATCGGAATATCCCAAAAGCATATCTGTTCCTCTGAATTTCAATTTGCATAGATATAAAGATTGTGGGTGGCAATCTAAATGTCGCTTAAAAATATATATATGATTAAAACGCATTTTAAACTAAAACTATCATTATTTAAACCACTTTGGTAGTACCTAGAATGTCTTGGTTGCTGTGACGTATTTTCAGTTCTAAACCTTAAAAAACCACTGCCTAATTACGAGCTTCAGGCATAATTTTTTTAAAAGATTATGCTTAATTTAAAAATAAAAATAATTACTGTGTCTCATATATTAGGTGAATTGAGAGCCTGACTGCATTTTCTAAATTTTTTATCAGCTTGTTTAGCCAGTCCAAGTCGTTTTGGCTCAAGGTCATATTTTGGTCACATACCCATCGCCAAGTGTCTCCCTGGCGGTCACATTTTCGCTCTAATTTTACGCTTTGCTCCTTTCAAAGCGGTTTTCATTTGCATTTAAAAAATTGCAAACGGTGCCTTTTGAATGCTGAAGGAAAAATGTCGGTGATGAAACCTATCGTTGAAGGCTATGTTAAATTTCGTGATGGAAAAAAGGTAAATTTTCAGCCGGAACTTTACGTTTCTGTTTTAGTGGAAAAGGCGTTACTGTGTCCTATGTTCAGCAACAAAGACTCTCAGTGAGTTCACTTTTCACTTTTAATATATTGTTTGCGTACGCTAACGTGTGAATTTTGGTCCCGGCCCCCTGTTATCATGTAATAATATAATGTATAAACATCCTGTGAACGAACTTTGCTTAGTTTTCATATATATCCAACGTCATAACAACTGTTTTTCACATTCTATCGAACTGTCTAATCGTGACAAAGTCTATAGAGTGTTATTTTTATTTGCCCTTCGTTGTACACAGGTTTCTGATTACATGTTAATCCTCATCCCTTTGCTCCTTGTTTGGTAGCTTGTATTTCCCTAAGAGCTTCCAATTTTCATTAGCTTTAGTTTTTTTTGTGGAGGTCTTGTTCTCAATTTTCTTTCGCGACTTATTTTTACCCACACACTGCGATTACACTGAACATTACTCTGGAACTCCTAGCATTTTTGAATCTGCTTTTAATGCAAGATTGAAAACGCTTGGATGCTAGCCTGCGGCCTCCTTCAATTATTTTGGGTTTATTCAGCACT